AACCATGTGTACAATGTCCTTCCTGATGAGTAAGGCTACTCCTCCTCCTGGTGCTAGAGATCGATCCTGCCTATGAATGGCAAATCTTTCTAGCACTACACCTGTTCCCTATCGTTGTCCTTGAGCCATGTTTCCGATACACCTATTACAACTGTATTCAGGTCACATGCTGCTGCAAGGAGTTCCATCCACTTATTTCTAATACTGGAAGTGTTGGTTACAAGTAACCAACAGCTTGCCGTGGATGGGTTAACGGTCTCTCTATTTACTCCATCTTGGGCCTCGGGCGCAGCACTCGAGTGGGTAGCAAATTTTTTGACGTTTTGCTCCCTTCATCCAGCTTACTTCCCCATAGAAATGATGACTCCAAGTCTGCAGGCGTTTCTATCGGGGTAGACATTCTTTTCAAAGGAGTGTTCACCACATCCTCGGCTCCAAGGACAGCAGGGCTGCTTTCGGCTGTCTCGGTCACAAGACAGCTTTGCCACTCCTCGTCCTCCATGACATCTTCGATCACCACTATTGGTGACACTTTGGCTACGCCGGTCGCTGCAGATCGGCCGCCGCCTGTTACCCCAGTTGAAGTCTTGAAGTAGTACTCGGGTTCGACGCTTGCGTCCAATATTCCCGGTTCCGGATTTGTCTTCTTTTCTGCAGTTCGGTTCATGAGTTGAAAGGGATGTTGTCGGAAATAGGAGCTGGCTCCAATATGGCGCCGCTGGATTAAGGGTGCATGCATGGAAAAAATAATCTAGAGGAGAGCGAGGATGAGAGAGGAGTAGTAACAGGGATAAGCGGGATAACGTGAGGGGTTCCTTGAGAAGATGGAGGCCAAATAGATCAGGGGATGGTAAGCCTTAGGTGTGAGTCTAGCAGGGTTTTGAAGACCCTTTGGGAGGAGGAGTTCACAATCTCTAGTGGAAGTTGCTTCCATTCTGAGATGACCCTGTACGTTAAGAAGTTGGAGCGAATGAAAGTTCTTAGCCGGTGTTTGAAGAGTTTTCTTGGGTGTCCCCTTAAGTGTGCCAGGCTAGAGGGTGTGAAGAAACGGCCAACTTGGCCTGAAATGAAGAGGTCATATAGAAGGAAGGGATCCCCTCTGATACGTCGTATATCTAGGAGTATAGATTTAGCTGTTGTATTCGGATAGGATAAGGGATTTCTGACAAGCCATGTACTAGTTTCGCGGCCCTTCGCTGCACACGCTCTAGTGAGTTGCGGTCGCGAATGAGGCCAGAATGTGCAATTTGGCTGCCATATTCTAACAGTGGGCGTACGTATTTTCCATAGAGGAAAGGGAAGTCTTCTTTGGTTATACGCGGGAAAGATCGTTTGATAAGGTTAAGAATGCGAAAGGCGGTTTTACTGGCCTCTTGGTTATGATAAGAAAAGGAGAGGTTGCTATTCAGCCAGAAAACAAGAATTTTGTGCTGATCCACCAGGTGGATACAGGTTGAACCGTTTACCCAGAAAGGTTGACCAGGAGCGTTACCAAAGGTCATGCTTGCACATGTTTCGTCATTGGTTGGTAAGCTCCAGTCGACTTACCAATTTTTTGTTTGGTCAATCGCCGACTGCACTTGGGATGCGTCTGTGCCCCAGATGGTGACATCATCCGCGCACATGGCAATCTCTATAGGGAGACGTTTAGGGAGATCATTAATATAGATCAGAAATAGGATGGGACCTAGTACGGAGCCCTGTGGGACTCCTATTGAGACTGGGGAGGGTGAAGAAACGGATGTGCCTATTCCAACCGCGAAGGAGCCATTCGACAGAAAACTAGTAAGCAGGGAGAGCAATCGGCCAGTGATGCCATGACTCTCTAGTTTGTACAGGAGAGGGATGTGTGGCACTCTGTCGAAGGCTTTGGCAAAGTCTATGAAGATTGCGTGCGAAATATGACCTTCGACATAGATACGAGTTAAGCTATCCATTAAGTTCAGTTCTCACAGGACGAATTGTGGCCACTTCCAATCGCGCGTCCAGTTCCTTGTGTTGTCGGCGGTTTCGTTGGCTTCCAACACTTTGAGTCAATAGTAGTTTCTGAAAGGCAGAATGTTAGTGTGCAGTATCATATCCCTTATAGTATTTCGGAAAGTAAATCCTAACGATTAACTTTCAACACTCAACCTCGGGAAAAACCACTGCCCAGCATTCATCTAGCCTTCTCTTGAAAGATTCAACATTAATACAGTTAACCACTGTATTTCATGCTGAATGTTTTAAAAATCCTTCCGAACCCACGATGATTTATGGTGAAATAACTTTATCTGTGTGTTGCTCTTATATTGACATTTCTCGATCACGAACACCACACATCATTATTTATCTGTTAATGTGGATGCTCGGCACATTTTAATTTGGCGTGGTTTGAGAATGGGAGCGACTGTTTGCCTCTCTCTGGACATCTTATTTGGCTCGCTTGTTTGAGTGCTTTTGGCCGCATATTCGAGGTTTGCTTTATTGTACATTTTTTAATGATTTCGTTAATTCAGTACCGTAGAACATTGCGGATCGACTGTGTTTTTAATTCGGGATTCGTATCGGTTCGGCTACGCGTCACTCAATTGCGAATTGGTTGACTTACTACCACTACCTCCAGGTTCTTGGCATGCGTAACCTCCATCAATTGCTTTATCTGATCAGGGATGCCGTCCCTTTCTACCCCTAGCCATTAACCTTTGGCTAGGTTCAGCGCCAGGTCTCACCAATGTTTGAAAGCCTTACTCAAGTTCACGTAACAGACGTCCATAATGAGGCCTTCGTCAATTCTACTGGTCAGATCGTCTCAGCACAGCAGCAGGTTTGTCAGACTTGACTTGCCTGTCACAAATCCATGTTACGCGGGTGTTATTACGCTGTGTACCACAAGATGCTCACACAATTATCGCCTCACGATACGTTCTGAGTTTACATAGAACACACATTGGTCTAACTGGCCTATAGTTTGTGGGCGTTCGAATGGCCTCACCCGTATATATACCAACTACTGTTGCCGTCTTCCATTCTCCAAGAAGATTTCCCTCCCTGAATGAGGCCACGTAAAGCTATATCCCCGGTAGAGATAGGACTTCTGCCAGTGGTTCAACTATGGTCGGATGGATTCCATCTGGCCCAATAGCTTTGTATTTACATAGGGTGTGCAGCTCAACCCTGACACTATCTTCGTTCACCCACAGCTCTAATAAACCTGGTGGGTTTTAGTTTCTCTGCCAGTCCAGGTTATCTTGAGTCTCAAGTGGTGAGCGATATATACCTTTGTGCGCTTCCAAGATTCTCCTGGCCTTTTCCGGATTTGTCAGCGCCAGTTGGCCATCCAGACCTTCTATTGCAGCCAAATTTTCCCTCGTTCTTCTTTTAGATTGTACATAGGCATAGAATCCTTTTGGATTCACCTTTTCCGACCTAGCTAACCTACGATGGAAACGGAACTACTCTTGTCTTTGAACAGCCTGGGCTTTATTACGGGCTTTTTTTATAGTTATCATATGTCTGCCGGTGCCGTACGTGGTGTACACTGTCCATCTTTTCCTTCGGATGTCTACTGCCCTCTTAACTCTNCCACGATCTGCCGTTTGAGGATGTTCCGGACACCCGAGTGGACATATTGATCGGCTGTGATATACCCGAGGCACAATGGGTTCTGTACCAAAGGATAGGAGGCCGTGGAGATCCATATGCTGTGCGCACGATGTTTGGTTGGATACTCTGCTGGCCGGTTAGTAATGATGGTATTTATTCAGCCTCGATCAACTTCATCTCGCGG